GTCTCGCTCTGTTGCCCAGGCGGGAGTGCAGTGGGATGATCCCCCCAGCTCACCACAGTCTCCACTTCCCGGGTTGCCTCAGCCTCCCGAGTAGCTGGGATTACAGCTGTATGCCACCACGCCTGGCTAACTTTTGTATTTTTAGTAGAGGTGGGGTTCCACCACGTTGGCCAGGCTGGTCTCGATGTCTTGACCTTGTGATCCGCCTGGCTGTTTGTTCACATTTTAAAAGACGCGACACTTGGCCAGGCATGGTGGCTCACACCTGTAATCTCAGCACCTCGGAAGGCTGAGGTGGGCAGGTTACTTGAGGCCAGGAGTTCGATACCAGCCTGGCCAACATGGTGAAGCTCCATCTCCACTGAAAATACAAAATGAGCCGGGCATGGTGGCGCCTGCCTGTGATCCCAGCCCCTCTGGAGGGTGAGGCAGGAGAATCGCTAGGACCTGGGAGGCGGAGGTTGTGGGGAGCTGGGATCATGTCATTGTACTCCAGCCTGGGCAACAACAGCAAAACTACATCTAAAACCAAACCAAAACAAAACTCTTTAACACTTTCGGCCAACATGGTGGCTCACACCTGTAATCCCAGCACTTTGAGAGGCTGAGGCAGGTGGATCACTTGAGGACAGGGATTCAGGAGCAACCTCGGTAACACAGTGATTCCTGCCTACAAAAAATACAAAATTTAAAATTTTTTTTTTTTTTTTTTTTTTTTGAGACAGAGTTTCGCTCTTGTTACCCAGGCTGGAGTGCAATGGCGCGATCTCGGCTCACCGCTACCTCCGCCTCCTGGGTTCAGGCAATTCTCCTGCCTCAACCTCCCGAGTAGCTGGGATTACAGGCACGCGCCACCATGCCCAGCTAATGTTTTGTATTTTTAGTAGAGACGAGGTTTCACCATGTTGACCAGGATGGTCTCGATCTCTTGACCTCGTGATCCACCTGCCTCGGCCTCCCAAAGTGCTGGGATTACAGGCTTGAGCCACCGCGCCCGGCCATAAATATTTCTATTTTTTTAAGACAAAGTCTCACTCTGTTGCCCAGGCTTCAGCGATCTTGGCCCACTGCAGCAGCCTCCACCTCCCAGGTTCAAGTGATTCTCCTGCCTCAGCCTCCCGAGTAGCACAGGTGCCCGCCACCATGTGCCAAGCTAGCTTTTGTATTTTTAGTAGAGACCAGATTTCACCATGTTGGCCAGGCTGGTCTCGAACTCCTGAGCTCAAGTGATCCACCCGCCTCGGCCTCCCAGACTGTTGGGATTACAGGCGTGGACCACCCTGCCTGCCCAGTTTTGTTTTAAAGTAGCATTTAAAACGGCTTGGTCACAGTGTCTAAAGCTGCATACACATTTACAGATGTCACCACATGGACACAGCTCATCGGAGTCTCAGTGTGTGAGGGGTTCCTGGGAGTGGAGTCTGAGAACCACTGCCCCTCCCACTTCGTGATGTGGTCGCAGGAACTCGAATTGAATTCCTCTCTGTTCAGACTCCTCAGGTGGCCAGGAAGGCATAAATCTGGTGGGGAGACCAGGGCAGGTGTCACTGTCAGCACCCCAGCTCTTCCTGAGCCAGGTGGGGTCCAGGAGTGAGGAAGGGGCTGTCGTGGCTGCACCCGTGCAGTCCCGGCAGGTGGGTCCTGGAGGGTGCTCCCCGGGAATAGCACCCACCAGTCGCACCCAGCCACCAGCACCATGGGGCTGTCATCGCCCCTTTCACACTCAGGTTTGAACGGTGTCCCTGGGAGCATCTGGGACTTTGTTTCCGGCAGCTTCTCCCCCAGCCCGTCCCACATCCTGAGCTCCGGACCCTCGTCCTCTTCGGGTGCAAGTCCAAACGGGGCTGAGCTGGCCCGGGTCAGGCGGCAGCTGGATGAGGCCAAGAGGAAGATCCGGCAGTGGGAGGAGTCCTGGCAGCAGGTGAAGCAGGTGAGCATGTGGGGGTGACAGGTGAAGAGGAGGGAGGGTGGCACGGGACTCGGGAGCGGGGGAAGACCGCAGGGGACACAGGCGAGGCAGAAGGGGCTGAGGTGGGCCTGGCCGCCACCTGGACGGGCCCTGGTTTTAGGCCTGCGACGCGTGGCAGCGGGAGGCGCAGAAGGCCAAGGAGCGTGCCCGTGTGGCAGACAGCGACCGGCAGCTGGCACTGCAGAAGAAGGAGGAGGTGGAGGCGCAGGTGAAGCAACTGCAGGAGGAGCTGGAGGGCCTGGGCGTGGCCTCCGCGCTGCCGGGGCTGCGTAGCTGCGGCGACATCGGCGCCATTCCTCTGCAGAAGCTGCATTCGCTGCAGAGTCAGCTGCGCCTGGACCTGGAGGCGGTGGATGGCGTAAGTCCCGGTCAGGGGGCTGAGGAGCTGCTGTCCCTGTCCGGGGAGAGCTCTGGCTGGTGCGGTGTCCCCTCCCTCCGCCTCCCCGTTTCCCTTGGGTCTGCTCTGGGTCTGTGGAGGGGACAGTGCCTTGCCTCGGCACAGCCCTACCTACAGCACAGCCCCCCCGTCGGCCTCCTTGCTTGTCTCCCTGGGAGCTGCCTGTCCTGTCAGGCTGGCCCTTGTCCTTCCTTTCTGGAATGTTCCACGTTTGCCCTTTTCACCCCTCTCTCTTGCCAGTGAATGCCAGGCTGCACCCTCCATGGGGAAGGTGGCCCATCCCTCTCTGCTCACAGCTGTGGCCCTCAAGCATGCCCCTCCTCACCTCGCCTCCCAAGGGTGGGCTCCTGGCCTGGCTGCTCTGGGCTAGAGGGTCCTGAGTAGCCCACGTCCTGGGTGCCCAGCTGCCAGGGGCCTCGGGCCTGTCCTGTCTGGCCACTGTCATGTCTGTGGTGGCCCCAGGAGGCCATCCTCTGCCTACAGCTCCCGAGACAGAGCATCTCATCCCGCAGCTGCCCTTCCTTCTCTCTGAGGTGGCCTTGGCCAGGGCGTCTCCCTGACCCTGTCTCTGTGGCTGGGCGGCCTGAGATGCTGGGTCCTGCTCAGAAGGCCTTCGGGCTCCCCGGCTGGCCTGGCCTGGGCAGGGGCCTCCTGACCCCACTGTTGTTCTGGCCCTGCAGGTGATCTTCCAGCTCCGCGCCAAACAGTGTGTGGCCTGCCGGGAACGAGCCCACGGTGCCATCCTGCGGCCCTGCCAGCACCGTGTCCTATGTGAGCCCTGCGCAGCCAGCGCGCCTGAGTGCCCCTACTGCGAGGGCCAGCCCCTGCGGTGGTGACCTCAGCAGGGACAGCTGCCTCCTGGTGGGCACCCTGGCTCCAGTGCTCTTCGTGATCACAGCCACGTTGTCACTGCTGGTAACCCCGAAGCGAGGACCAAGGCTGGGAGCTCTTGCCCATGCTCGGCCCGGCGGCCCTCCTGATACATGATCACCTCTCTAGGCCCAGCGACGGTTTCAAGGTATTTTCCTCAAAAACCTTAAAAGCAAACCCACAGAACCCACTTGCTTGTCCTCGCGGGGCCTGGTGGCTCAGGGGTCCTCGTGGGTACTGTGTGGTCCTGATACTGCTGTGACCGGGCCATTGGGAGCTGGGGTCTCGAAGCACTTTGTAGACTGAGGAATTTAGGTAGAGGTTCTAAATTGCTCTAAGCTGCTTTCTACATTCATGTTTTTTAATATGCGATAATATGAAGCTTTATACGTGTACTGTGAACTTAAACATTTCCTATCCGTTAATACATAGTATGCTAAATATTCTAGATTTCATATTCTGAAACTAGTACTTATGAAATGAGCGTTTCTCTAGTAGCAAGACCTAGGATTTTTACATTTTCCCATTAAGTGCAAATAGTATTATTTATAAGCAGAGTGATTACTGAGAGAAATTAACTTTATGGAAGGAGCTAGTTTTCCTAAGCCCATGCACGTGTGCATGGAACTGGAGTCTGTATTCCACGCTCGTGGTGTGGGGGCAGGAGAACCCAGGCCTGCATTTCTGTGATCCGTGGCCACGTTTTCTAAGTGCCTGTGCCTTGAAAACACGTGAAGGAACATCACTGGTTTTATTTCCTCCCTTGAACCTCTGAAAGACAGTTTGATACTAACGAAAAGTCCAGCACAGGGACCAGACATCAGAGATTTTAGAATTACTTTTTTAAGAAGCTGTCTTCTGGCCGGGCGTGGCGGCTCACGCCTGTAATCCTAGCACTTTGGGAGGCCGAGCCGGGAGGCTCACCTAACATCAGGAGTTCAAGTCCAGCCTGGCCAACAAGGTGAAACTCTGTCTCTACTGAAAATACAAAACGTAGCTGGCCGGCGTGGCAGGCACCGCCTCAGCTGCTGGGGAGACTGAGGCAGGAGAATGGCTCGAACCCAGGAGGTGGAGATTGCAGTGAACTGGTGTCTCACCACTGCACTTCAGCCTGGTACAGAGCGGGACTCCGTCTCAAAAGGAACAAAGCAGTTGTCTTCTGATGACTCAGCTCTCACAGGCAGTGGTGCTTTGTAAGTCCTTGGAGAATTGCCTCCCTGGCACCTGTGACCACCCCCAGTCCTGCTCGCTTAGGAGACGCTCCAGCCATGGTGCCAGAGTCCAGGGCGCTGGGTGTGTGTGACCGTCACCTGCCCTGTACTGCCAGGTATTACTGAAGCTCATGCATGTGGCCAGTGAGGTCATACAGAGGACCCTGCCGCTCGGTGGCCTGGAGCACATGCAGGAAGCAGCGTGCACAGTCCCGGCTCTGCTGCGGCCCCGTGCCCGCCCGCCCTGCAGCGACAGCGAGGCTTCTGGCCGTAGCAGAAACGCGACTAAGAACACGTCCCCACGATGACCTGACCCTTCTCTGCTCAGGCCTGGGATTGTCCCTGGGAGTTGAGGAGCAGGTGTAGGTGTCCAGGTGACGGCAGCCTGGCTCTCCGCGAGGCCCCACGGGCTGTGAGGGAGCAGGAGGCGGCACCAAGGCATTTCTCCTGGCCCATGGCTTTGCCAAAGACTTTTAATAGCATTTTTTAAAAGTGCAAAATGCTCGGTAAAAATTTTATCAGTGACCAAATTAGAATGTATTTAATACAGTAGGAGGTTTAAGAACTTTTCAACATAAGACAAACTGATAGCCACGTTCTGTCATTTTAAAGGAAGCGGATCCGTGACATTCTGCAGCTAGTCCGCTACTACAGGTAACTGTTGACTTGGTTTTAGTGACTGTTCTGTTTTTGATGATAGTGATGATTTATATTAGCTCAGTATCTAGAAATTGCGTCTATTTTGTGCTCCTGTCATCAGTGTTTAAAATCCTTTGTTTTCATTAGTATTTATGCACTTGGTTCCCATTTCGGGCCTCTGGTCTTTTGTGGAATGTGTGGTGCCTGCCCAGGGGGGTCCGCTGGTTGTCAGCAGTCAGGGGCAGCTGAGCCCTTGTCCGCGGCTGCTCTGCTCTTTCTGGGAACGAGGTGGCGGCTGCCCCTCAGGCATCTCCAGGGCTCAGCTTGCAGGTGGTGGTGCTGGGGAATGGCTGGGAGATGGAGGTGGTACCTCCTCCCCCAGATCAGTACTGGCTCTGAGAACAGGAGTGTGGTGGGAAGACCAAAGAGTGGCCCGGGGCACACGGGCATCGCCGGGGTTGGAAATGGAGGCAGGAGCCTGGGGCCCCAGGTCCGGGGCCCTTCGTTACCTGACTCTGCTCTTGAGGGCCGAGGCCTCAGGTACGGATCCTGAGCGGTCGAGGTGCACAGCAGTGGCTGGATGGTGCTGAGCTGGAGGCAGGCCTGGTGGCTCCCACCTGTGGCCAGGCGGGCCCTGGGCGTGGGAGCCCGGTGGTGGGCGGTCCCGCCGTGGTCTTGTTGCCTGTAACTCCTAGTGTTCAATAGTAGTCGTGATACAATGGCGTCACGACATGTGTGTAACTGTGGTCAGCAGACCTCGTTCCATGTGGACACGTCACATGGATTAATTTATGGAAGCCTCAATCTATTTAGATGAGAATGTTAATTGAATGGAATTTTCTTAACCCAGAAGGTAGTATTTATAATGCATAATCATTTACTTGTAGTAATTGTTTAAAGGTAACACTTGTTTAAGTTTTTTACACTATAGCATTTATGCAATGGTTTACAGATTCATGGAATTATTTTTATCAGTATGGGAATTAATTAAAACCTTGAATCTTTGTTTTGTCTGCTTCTCTGAGCACAAGCCTGGCCGGCTGGTCCCTGGGGGTTCCCTCTGGCCAGCTTCTCTGTGGGGCTCTTCACACCAAAGGCTCACAAGCTCCCACGCAGGCCCGGGTCGCCCCGCAGCTGCTCTGCAGGCCCCGGTCTGGGCATCTTGTGGCCGAAGTGTTCCAAGCTGGAGGTTTCTGCCAAAACAGCAGGTGGCCAGTCCTGATCTGGACCCACAGGCAGTGGGTGCTGGGGTGGGCCTGGCTCCTCCCCACAGTTGGGACTCACCTGTGGGTTTTGCGTGGGGGATGCCATGCTGGGTGAGCAGACCTCTCAGCCTTTTCATCTCCTTCGACAGTTCTTTATGAGCCTGTGGCAAAACGAGTGGAAGGGCAGGGCCAGGCTAGGCTATATGGGCGAGGCGGTGCATGCTGCCCCTACCCGCAAGACCGTACCTTCCTGCAGTTTTCCAGGGTCTCAAACCCCAAGCCGTCAGGACCTCCCTCCAGCTTGGGGGCTTCATTTTCTTCTGGGCTCCTTAAGTAGCCGGCGTCCTCAAAAAGTGTCTGCAGCAACTTCTCATGGCCCTGAAGGTGGAGGACGCAGGGGCAGCACCCAGCTCTCAGCCAGGCCCGCCTGGGGCTGCCCCGAGTACCCGCTCACCTGGGGGGTGATCAGCTCGTCAGCCAGGTCCTGTTCCACCTTGTCCCACCGCTGCTGCAGGGCCTCCGGTAGGGCCGGGTACACTGAGGACCCAAGAGAAGCCAGGCTGAGCCGCACCTTGTGTCCCAACCTGGTCCCACTGTGGCAGGGGCCTGGTCCCACTGGCCACCCCAACCTGGTCCCACTGTGGCAGGGCTGGGTACGAGGACAACCCATCTGGGCTCAGCTGCACCTGCACCCTTACCTAGCAAGGAGTGGGGGTGGCAGACGAGGGGGGTCTCGAACGTCAGCGCATACACACAGGTGCTGGGCTCGGACACGTGGGCCAGCCGGTTGCTTTTTCCACATGTCAGCTCCACCTGGGGAGGGAAGGCGGGTGGGTGGGTTGGGGAGGCCGGGGCCCCTCTTCCAGTACTCCTGTCTGAGGCCTCACCTTGCTCTGCCGGCTCCGGGAGCGGCAGGCGTCGCCATCCCTCATCCACATGCCCGTGAAGGTGTTGTTGGCGATCTCCCACTCGTGCCAGATGCTGGGGGGACACGGCGCAGCGTGTGAGGCCAGGCGGGGAGCTGGACTGCTGCGGACCCCTGGCCCGGCCCTGCTCACCCAAGGATCCCACTGTAGGCGTTCCAGCGGAAGGTCTGCTCGTGCTGAGTCACGTTGTGGAATGGACAGAACTCGTACTTGTACCTGGGGGCACAGGTGGCCTAAGGGAGGTCCCCAGGCCACGCCCAGCCCACCCTCACCCCCACGCTGCACTCACGTGGACTCCACCAGGCTGAAGCACTTGCCGGAGAGTCGGGAGAGATGCACGGGCCCTGGAAGAGAAGCGAGCCGTGAGTGGCCGGAGCAGAGCCGCGGGGGACGAAAACCGAGACTCGAACCAGAGCTCGAGCAATGGCAGCAAACGCCAGACCAGGAGGCTCCGAGGTGCTTTCCCCGTGAAAATGAGAACCCCCAGCCAACTGAGCTAACCTCACAGGAGGGGTCACCCCATCAGCACAGAGCAACCTTCAAGGCAGTAAACCGAGCTCTCCTGTGCCCATGCATGGCGCTGGGAGGGCCTCGGCACAGCACCCTGGCCTGGCCGGGGCTGCCTGGAGGACCGGCCTTGCTCTGCCCCATTCAGATGTCAGGAGGGCCAGTCACCCAGGAGAGCGCGGCAGGACTCCGGAAATGAAGGCACTCTGCAGCAGCCATGCACATAGGAAGCTGGGCATCGCAGCGGCAGGCTGAGAGGAGACTGCAAACCTTCCTCTCTGACCTGACACTGATCCCCAGGCTCCAGCACAGAACCCGTGAGCAAAGACTGACGGAGAGCAATCTGTTTGCAAAGGACCAGTTATCAACAAAAAGCACAAGACACAGGAAAAGGGGTCCCATTCAGTGGAAGGAACTGGACAACTGAGAATTCTATATTCAGGAAAGTAGCCCTTCAAAAATGAGAGTGAAGGCTTGGTGCGGTGGCTCATATCTGTAATCCCAGCACTTTGGGAGGCCAAGGCGGAGGGATCGCTTGAGGCCAGGAGTTTGAGAGCAGCCTGGGCAACATTTCGAGACCCCCGTGTCACACACACACACACACACACACACACACACACACACACACTCTCTCTCTCTCTCTCTCTCTCTCTCTCTCTCTCTCTCTCTCTCTCTCTCTAGCTGGGTGCAGAGGTGTGCACCTGTAATCCCGGCTACTTGGGAGGCTGAGGTGGGAGGCTTCACACACACACACACACACTCACTAGCTGGGTGCAGAGGTGTGCACCTGTAATCCCGGCTACTTGGGAGGCTGAGGTGGGAGGCTTCCCTTGAGCCGAGGAGATGCGGAGGCTGCAGTGAACTATGATCGCACCACTGCACTACAGCCTGGGCAACAGAGCAAGGCCCTGTCTCCAAAAAAGAGCAGACAAGCCCAGATAAACAAAAGCTTCAGGAGCTGGTCAGCAGCAGTCCTGTGTGCCACCCAGGAAGGTGAGCAGACAGCAGCCCATCGGGAGGAGACACAAGGCCCTGGAACAGGGAAGTGCGTGGGTCAGTTAAAGGCCGTTCTCCTCCTAGCTGTGGTCTGTAAACCTGCAAGTCTGAACACAGCCAGCCCCCACCTTTTTGGCACCAGGAACTGGTTTCATGGAAGGCAGTTTCCCACCACCCAGGGCTGGGGGGTGCGAGGTTTGGGGAGGAAACCTCCAGCTCAGATTATCAGGCATTAGATGACGATGATGATTTTTGAGACAGTCTAACTGTCACCCCAGGCTGGAGTGCAAGGGCACCGTCTCGGCTCATTGCAACCTCCACTTCCTGGGTTCAAGTGATTCTCCTGCCTCAGCCTCCCGAGTAGCTGGGATTTCAGGTGTCCGCCACCATGCCCGGCTAACTTTTGTATTTTTAGTAGAGACAGAGTTTCACTGTGTTGGCCAGGCTGTTTGCTAACTCTTGACCTCAAGTGATGCACCCGCCTTGGCCTCCCAGGTGCTGGGGTTACATGCGTGAGCCACTGCGTCCGGCCTGAAAGACCAACTTTAAAGACAAACAAGTTGAAAGTGAAGGTATGGAAAACTATCCACGTAAACGGCCAAAAGAGCTGGAGTGGCTGAAACGATTACGAGACACAGAGATGTTCCGTGCTGACGCGAGGGTCCATGTGCCAAGATACACAATTAACCATGCACGTGCCACCAACCACGTGGCGGCAACACAGGCAGGAGACAATGATATCCCACTTCTTCTTTTGTGTTTGAGACAGTCTGGCTCTGTCACCCAGGCTGGAGTGCAGTGGTGCGATCTCTGCTCACTGCAACCTCCACCTCCCAGGTTCAAGTGATTCTCCTGCCTCAGCCTCTCCAGTAGCCAGGATTACAAGCACCCGCCATCATGCCCAGCTTATTTTTGTAGAGAAGGGGTTTCACCATGTTGGTCAGGCTGATCTTGAACTCCTGGCCTCGTGATCCACCTGCCTCAGCCTCCCAGAGTGCTGGGATTACAGGCGTGAGCCACTGCACCCAGCCTGATACCTGATTTCTAACGTGATAGAATCACCAACGGGAAGATCCATGAGGAAACAGGCCTCCCACAGCCCTAGAACCCAACAAGCCTCACAGAACGCTCCACACAATAGCGAAGACACACTTTTTAGGTGCACATGGAAATTTTTTTCAACGAGAGACCACATGTTACATCACAAATTTGGTCTTTTTTTTTGGAGACAGTCTCACTCTGTTGCCCAGGCTGGAGTGCAGTGGCTTGATCTCGGCTCACTGCAGCCTCACCTTTCTGAGTAGCTGAGATTACAGGCGCCCACCATCCTATCCAACTAATTTTTGTAGAAATGGGGTTTCACCAAGTTGGCCAGGCTGGTTTTGAACTCCCGGCCTGAAGAGATCCGCCTACCTTGGCCCCCCAAAGTGCTGGGATTACAGGCATGGCACTGTACTCAGCCTCAAAACTGGTCTTAAAAAGGAAAATTATCTTTTGATCACAAAGGAGTGAAACTGGAAATTAATAGAAAAGCAAATGGAAAATTAACACGTGGAAATTAAATAAGACAGTCTTTTTTTTTTTTGACAGAGTCTTGTTCTGTCGCCCAGGCTGGAGTGCAATGGCGTGATCTTGGCTCACTGCAACCTCCACCTCCTGGGTTCAAGCGATTCTCCTGTCTCTGTCTCCCGAGTAGCTGGGATTGCAGATGCCCACCACCACACCTGGCTAATTTTTGTATTATTAATAGCGATGGGTTTTCACCATGTTGGCCAAGTCTCAAACTCCTGACCTCAGGTGATCCTCCGGCCTCAGCCTCCCAAAGTTCTGGGATTACAGGCGTGAGCCACTGCGCCTTGCTCAGTCTTAAACGATGGTCAAAGAAGAAATCACAGTGTGAATTAGAAAGTACCTTGAGACATAAAAATGAAAAGCCACCATATTTACAGGAAACTTACATGATGGGCAAGGCCCGTGATGAGATGGAAGTTCACAGCTATAAACAGGTTGGAAAACATGGTCTGGGCACGGCGGCTCACGCCTGTCATCCCAGCACTTTGGGAGGCCGAGACAGGCAGATCATGAGGTCAGGAGATCCAGACCATCCTGGCTAACATGGCAAAACCCTGTCTTGACTAAAAATACAGAAATTAGCTGGGCGTGGGGTTGTGCGTCAAGTTCCAGCTGCTTGGGAGGCTGAGGCTGGACCCTCACTTGAACCTGGGAGGCAGAGGTTGCAGTGAGCGGATGTCTCGCCACTGCACTCCAACCTGGGCGACAAGCGAGACTCTGTCTCGTGTATATTAAACCTTTCAATCCGTAAACATGGGTTATCAGACAGTCTCTCAGTCTGGAAAGATTTAATGTTTTACGCTGACAGTATCACCCAAAGTGATCTGCAAGTTCAGTGCGATCCCTGTCAAAATCCCTGGGACAGTTTTTGCAGAAATAGAAAAATACATCCTAAAATTCACACGGAGCCTCAGAGGACCCCAACAATTGAGCAACCTTGAAAAAGAACAACAAAGTTGAAGGACTCATACATACTGAATTCAAAAATTACTTCAAAGCTGTCATGATGAAAAAACAGTGTGGTCTTGGCGTAAAGGCTGGAATAGAAACTCATGGAAGAAGACAGAGGGCCTGGGAAAAAACCTGAACAGACAGTGAAATGGTGTAACAAGGGTGCCCAGACCCTTCAGTATGGAAGGGACAAGCTTTTCAACAGTGCTGGGGAAACTAAACGCCATGCGGAGACTGCAGGTGGACGCTGCCTTTATACCACGTACAGCAAGAAGCTCCAAATGGATCTAAGACCTAAACATGAGCTAAAACTATAAAACTTTTCACACTCCTTAATGCTGGATTTGGCAGTGATTGCTTGGATCTCACACCAAAAGCACAGACAACAAGAGAAAAACATAGACTTCAAAATAAAAAGCATCCGTGTATCAAAAGACCTCATTGGCCAGGTGCGGTGGTTCACGCCTCATCCCAGTGCTCTGGGAGGCCGGGACGGGCAGGTCACGTGAGCTCAGGAGTTTGAGACCAGCCTGGCCAACATGGTGAAACCCCATCTCTACTAAGTAAAAATTAGCCAGGCATGGTGGCGCCTGTCTGCAATCCCAGTTACTTGGGAGGCTGAGGCAGGAGAATCTCCTGAGCCTGGGAGGTGGAGGCTGTAGTAAGCCATGACTGCACCATTGCACTCCAGCCTTGGTGACAGAGCGAGACTCCATGTCAAAAAAAAAAAAAAGGCGAAGGATTGAACAGAGACTTCTCCAAAGACCACTTAGAAACCAACCATAAGCAACCGAAAAGATGCTACATCACCGATCATTAGGGACCACTTCACACCATTAGGATGGCTGTTAGCAAAAACAGTGTTGCTGAGAATGCGTAGAAATTCGAACCCTCATGCGATGCTGGCTGGGGAATGGGACAGCCACGATGGGAACAGTCTGGCGCCCCTCAACAAGCTAAACAAGGCATTCTTACAAAACTCCGAAAACCTCCTCTTGGAAATTGGAAGCAGAGACTCAAATACCTACGCACATGTTCACAGCAGCCTCTTCACAGCTGAAGGGTGGAAGCGCCCCCCGCCCCCCGTCCATGAACGGATGCCAGGTAGGTAACAGATGCTCAGTCCTTGCGACGGGACTGTCCTGAGCCTCAAAAGGAAGGAAGCACGGGCACAGGTGCACCCTGGACGGACCCTGGGGACGCTGCACTCGGAGAAGATCAGACACAAAAGCTGCACACAGTTTGAGTCACTTGTGTGACGTCTCTCCAACAGCCGTGTTCAGAGACAAAGCAGAGCGGTGGGTGCAGGGGCCGGGGA